TGAGCGCTTCCTGCTCGGGCAAAACCACAGCGAAGCAGCAGCTAAAAATACTGACGTCTCAATGGAGCGCTGAACTGAGACTTCAACTCTCCTGGGTTGATGCGTCTCCTCTTTCACCAGGCGCTTGGGAGTTTTAGAAAGACTTTGAGATCTTGCTAAGTCATGCTTTCGTCTCTTTGAACTTATATGACTTTTGTAAGTGGTGTTTTCGGAATATGCTGGAAGAAACGCTCTTCAAGTGACCATCCGTCACCGATTTGGACCTTGGAGCGTCCGTTTACTCCATTCGCGTCTACATGGGGATTGATGTCTGATGGAGACACGTCCACCGATGATCCGGACATACAGAGATCTGGGGGCGAGAGGGGTCGTGACGTACCCACCTGAACTTCAACAACACACTTCATCTGATTTCAATCCAAGTGCTTTGTAAACTCCATGGAGCCGCTGAAGAACATATTCTCGCGCGGCCCGCTGTCCACCTGGAAGAGCCTGGATCAGACTGAGAAGGGAAACTTCACCAACCCGGTTTGGACCGCCTTGTTCGACTACGAGGCCTCGGGGAAGGATGAACTCACGCTGCGTAAAGGGGACCTGGTGGAGGTCCTGTCTCTGGATTCTGAGATATCTGGAGACGAAGGTTGGTGGGCGGGAAAGGTCAACAACAAGGTGGGAATCTTCCCCTCCAACTACGTCTCCTTCAAACCCAGCGGATACGGTGAGCTGCAGGGCTCCGGTTTGGGACCGAGCGAGTTGGAGCCGGAGACGGTGGACTTCAACGAGCTGAGTCTGGAGGAGGTCATCGGGGTGGGCGGGTTCGGGAAGGTCTATCGAGGAACCTGGAAGGGCGAGTTGGTGGCGGTGAAAGCGGCCCGTCAGGACCCAGACGAGGACATCAGCGTCACGGCCCAGAACGTCCAGAACGAAGCCAGGCTCTTCGCCATGCTCAAGCACCCCAACATCATCGCGCTCATAGGCGTTTGCCTGCAGGAGCCCAACCTGTGCCTGATCATGGAGTACGCTTCGGGCGGCCCGCTGAGCCGCGCTCTGGCCGGACAACGGATCCCGCCGCATGTTCTGGTGAACTGGGCGGTGCAGATCGCCCGCGGGATGCAGTACCTGCACAACGAGGCCATCGTCCCCGTCATCCACCGAGACCTCAAGTCCAACAACAGTGAGTCCACGTCCTTATATTCTAGACATTCTGATGTGTTTGCCTTTCATGACTGCTCAATTTCCAGCAGACATTTACATTCATGCAAAAGCTACTTAAGCTGAATTCAAGCGATACGTTTGATCAGTTCATGCATTCACTGGGAATCGAACCCACAGCCTTGGTGTTTCTATTGCCAAACTCTGCTTTTTGAGTGCCACAAATGTTTAGAGCAGCGAATGACCATAAAGGATCCATTTCTTTTATATTTACATTGATGCAGACACTTTTTTTCCAAAGCAACCTTCATCTACACATTTAGCCAGTTCATGCATTTACTGCGAATCGAACCCATGACCTTGGCATTTCTATTGCCAGACTAATTTTTTGAGTGCCACAAAATGTAGCCTGGCTAATTTAGACCATAGAAGATACATTTCTTTATATATTTACATGAATGCATTTGGCAGATGCTTTTTTTCAAAACAACTTGCATTGCATTCAATCTACACGTTTGATCAGTTCATGCATTCCCTGGGAATCGAACCCGTAACCACCTCGTTGACCTACAGGAATGCTCAAGTTTCCTTTATTAAGCCATTCTGTTAGAGTCCATCTCATCCAGTATGGTCCATTCTGGGGTTCATTCAGCTGCTGGTGGTGTTGTGTTTTGGTTTGGGATTATTATCAGGCCCACATGGACCCTCGCCCGCAGAACTCGGGGAAAAGCTCTGCAGGTTTCCGCAGAAACGTAACGCCCTTCATTTACAGAGTTCTACATCCTCTACCTGTCGCATGTGCGTTTGCTTTGGTATTGTGTCTAGCTCGATTGTGCTTCAGTTGTAGTAAATTTAGTTCTACTTAAATCCATTCTGCAGAATACCAGCAATAGCCTTTTTAACATTCTGCCTGGGCCTATATAGTATTTATTGGGGTTTTTTGGTTGAGCTCCAGGACTCTGAGAGAATCGCCTGTTTTGGGGGAAGAGGATATTCCCATGGCATGTATCACACAGTTGTGAAGGGAATGTTGTTGGCCTGGATATCAAGTGACACACACGCACACACACATTTTGCCAAGTTGTGCAAAACTCGATAAGAAGACCACACACGGGTCAAAGATCATATTAGGACACAGACATGTAGTACTGAGCTGGACTTTGTGTTTATATTGCTCATTATATCGTACCATGTTGATTTCTCGTGCACCGACAGATACTTGCATACTGTAAAAATGCACAGCTCTGATTTTACTCAGACCAAAGTAAATGCATTATTCTTAAACTTAACTGCTCTGCTGATCAGGATGATCGGTTTAGATGTTAGATGGCACTTCAGTTTATCACATCTCCTAATTATACACTTTTTATTAATAGACATTAAATTAGAACATGGATAACAGGTGTTTATTTTTCAGCATTCGCGGAGACTTTGATCACAGCTCATCCAATCAGAATATCGAGTCAGAACTATAAATATTTATCTCATAAGAACTAAGTAAATGGAGACACCCAGTGCTTTTCAAAAGCGAGTATATGTAGTTTTCCTTCCTCAGTTTTTCTCTTTTTTTCCCCCACTCTCTTACACCTTTACCCAGTGTCTGTTTGGTTATTGTCCACCCACGTATATCTCATGATCCTTCACTTCCCTCTTGAGTCAGGAGAGAGCGCATCCGGCGGGCTGGAAACCACCTCAGTTGCGTAAAACAAACTTTTTAAAGCCGGCTCGCAACACACTGCAACCAAAGCAGCACAATCCACTGGCTGTAGCTGCGATCTTATCTCTCTCTCTCTCTCTCGCTCTCTCTCTCTGCCTGTTGTTTTTTAATTCTTTCCAAACTCTTTGTCCCAGACCTGCCCTTACTTGTCTCTCGAGCTCTGTCATTCCAGATCGCAGCATCCTGTGTTTTTCTTTCTTGTTTCGTCTGTTTCCACACCCCCAACCTAACTCCATTTTTCGCTTCCTACTCATTTTCTAAAGACAGCCTCCCTCTGTTCCTGCGCTGAGCTCGATTGCAGAGGATTATGGGCCGGCGTTCAGGTCTCTGCCATGCGTTCGATCAGTAGTTCAGCGTGAAGAGTTTGCTTATTTCAGCAGTGCTTTCATGTAAAGAGTTTCTTCACTTCTCATTATTTCACCACCAGTATAATGTGAAGAGTTTCTTCAGTCAGTAGTTTAATGAGTTAGTGTGAAGAGTTTTTTTAATCAGTAGTTTGTTTCTTTATTCAGTAGATTAGAGTGAAGAGTTTCTTTATTCAGTAGATCAGTAGTTTGAGTTTCTTTAATCAGTAGTTTAGAGTGAAGAGTTTATTTAATCAGTAGTTTGAGTTTCTTTATTCAGGAGTTTAGAGTGAAGAGTTTCTTTAATCAGTAGTTTGAGTTTCTTTAATCAGTAGTTTAGAGTGAAGAGTTTCTTTAATCAGTAGTTTGAGTTTCTTTATTCAGTAGTTTAGAGTGAAGAGTTTCTTTAATCAGTAGTTTGAGTTTCTTTATTCAGTAGTTTAGAGTGAAGAGTTTCTTTAATCAGTAGTTTGAGTTTCTTTATTCAGTAGTTTAGAGTGAAGAGTTTCTTTAATCAGTAGTTTGAGTTTCTTTATTCAGTAGTTTAGAGTGAAGAGTTTCTTTAATCAGTAGTTTGAGTTTCTTTATTCAGTAGTTTAGAGTGAAGAGTTTCTTTAATCAGTAGTTTGAGTTTCTTTATTCAGTAGTTTAGAGTGAAGAGTTTCTTTAATCAGTATGAATTTCTTTATTCAGTAGATTAGAGTGAAGAGTTTTTTTATTCAGTAATTTAGTGTGAAGAGTTTCTTTAATCAGTATCTTGAGTTTCTTTATTCAGTAGTTTAGAGTGAAGAGTTTCTTTAATCAGTAGTTTGAGTTTCTTTAATCAGTAGTTTAGAGTGAAGAGTTTATTTAATCAATAGTTTGAGTTTCTTTATTCAGGAGTTTAGAGTGAAGAGTTTCTTTAATCAGTAGTTTGAGTTTCTTTATTCAGTAGTTTAGTGTGAAGAGTTTTTTTAATCAGTAGTTTGAGTTTCTTTATTCAGTAGTTTAGTGTGAAGAGTTTTTTTAATCAGTAGTTTGAGTTTCTTTATTCAGTAGTTTAGTGTGAAGAGTTTTTTTAATCAGTAGTTTGAGTTTCTTTATTCAGTAGTTTAGTGTGAAGAGTTTTTTTAATCAGTAGTTTGAGTTTCTTTATTCAGTAGTTTAGTGTGAAGAGTTTCTTTAATCAGTAGTTTGAGTTTCTTTAATCAGTAGTTTGGCAGGAAGAGTTTTGCCATAAATGTATAGATTAGTGTGAAGAGTTTAATCAGTAGTTTACTGAGTTTCTTTATTCAGTAGTGAAATGTTAAGAATCTTTATTCAGTAGTTTAGTGTGAAGAGTTTCTTTATTCAGTAGTTTAGAGTGAAGAGAGAGTTTCTTTAATCAGTAGTTTGAGTTTCTTTATTCAGTAGTTTAGTGTGAAGAGTTTCTTTAATCAGTAGTTTAGAGTGAAGAGTTTCTTTAATCAGTAGTTTGAGTTTCTTTATTCAGTAGATTAGAGTGAAGAGTTTTTTTATTCAGTAATTTAGTGTGAAGAGTTTCTTTAATCAGTATCTTGAGTTTCTTTATTCAGTAGTTTAGAGTGAAGAGTTTCTTTAATCAGTAGTTTGAGTTTCTTTAATCAGTAGTTTAGAGTGAAGTTTCTTTAATCAGTAGTTTGAGTTTCTTTATTCAGTAGATTAGAGTGAAGAGTTTCTTTATTCAGTAATTTAGTGTGAAGAGTTTCTTTAATCAGTAGTTAGGGTGAAGAGTTTCTTTAATCAGTTGTTTGAGTTTCTTTATTCAGTAGTTTAGAGTGAAGAGTTTCTTTAATCAGTAGTTTAGAGTGAAGAGTTTCTTTAATCAGTAGTTTAGAGTGAAGAGTTTCTTTAATCAGTAGTTTAGAGTGAAGAGTTTCTTTAATCAGTAGTTTAGAGTGAAGAGTTTCTTTAATCAGTAGTTTAGAGTGAAGAGTTTCTTTAATCAGTAGTTTAGAGTGAAGAGTTTCTTTAATCAGTAGTTTAGAGTGAAGAGTTTCTTTAATCAGTAGTTTAGAGTGAAGTTTCTTTAATCAGTAGTTTGAGTTTCTTTATTCAGTAGTTTAGAGTGAAGAGTTTTTTTATTCAGTAATTTAGTGTGAAGAGTTTCTTTAATCAGTA